TCAAGCTTTCTATCTATAACAGTTAAAAAACAGGAGCCTTGTCATGACACTGGTGTGTTCAGGCATATAATGTAAGACCCTCATTTTATAGGCCAGTCAGCATCTGATGGGTGATGTTTACAGTATCTTGCAGGCTGGCTGCTTGTTCTTCCAAGGACCCATTTTAGGCAGGGTTAGCTGAAGTCACTGTAAACGTCTCACAATTATTACAAACACATTGTAGGCAGGGAAGATCGTGCTTGATGTGGCGGCATTATCTATATAAAGTTGCTAATAATGCTGTCTGTAACTACCCATAAGTCACAGAGGTTGCTTTAACAAACAAAAAAACTAAAGATAACTTGAAAACCATTTATTTTTACATACACTGTCCTTTTATTTTTCAACATAATTTCCACCAAAATTGAGGCATTTGCCCCATCGTTTTGTCAATCTCCCAAACCTGCTTCATAGAATTGCGTGCTCTGTTTTCACTCAGTTGATCATGCAGTATGTTGTATGCTGAACCATTTGAGCACCCTATTGCAGCTGCTACAGAGTCAACCGTCACTCACCTGTCACATCTAATCTCCACCCGCTGCACTGATACATCTGTTGCAATCTCAACAGGACAACCAGATTGGACTTCATCAACTTTAGAGTGGCCTTGAGAAACATTTTTTTTTTAAACCCAGCTATGCACCACTTTATGGATTAAACATGTGTTGGCATAAACAGGAAGCATTTCCTTATGAATGTCCCTTACAGACAGTCCTTGTTTTCCCCCCACCCCACCCAAAAAAAACAACCGTACAACAGCAAATCTGTTTTCTTTGAGGGTACTCTCCGTAATTATAGTCGCCATTTTGTTTGTTTTGCGAATGCGCATGCAACACTCAGCACTACCTAATGAACGGAGACATACAGTTCGATGTTACCGTCACCTAATGACATCTTTAGAAACCACCACCAACATTTTCCTGCCATTCCATAACCATTTGTAACTGACTTATTGACTTTCCCTCGTATTTTGGCTCTTCCAAACACTCACATTCACACAGGAATTGTATTTTCTGTATAAAGCATGTTATATTTATAATATACATAATGAGTATCAAGTCTGAGAGAAATACTAAAGCATATTTACTCATCGTTGCAATATGATACTGTTTAAAAAAAATGCTGTGAGATATTTCATAAAATCTACTCAATGAGATATGTCTATTAAAATATTAACCCAATGAATTGATAAATAATATACCAAAACAAAAACCTGAACAAAAGAATGAGATGCTAAAAGCACAACATTTCTAGCATTCAGATGCGATGTCCATAAAACATTTTTAATGAGAGGGATTTTTAAAAAGAATAGTATAACAAGTTTATGTACTTTAAGGCACAATTTATACAAAACATGCATTATGTACTTTAAGGCACAATTTATACAAAACATGCATTATGTACTTTAAGGCACAATTTATACAAAACATGCATTATGTACTACTTTAGGCACAATTTAAAAACAAAACATGCATGACGAGTTCATAATAATTTCTAGTGATAATAATTAATATATACTTTCACATCATTAAGCCACTGACCTGAGTATCCAGAATGTCTAGGTATAGCTAGATACAAATACAATTTCCAGGCATAGCTGAAGCAAATACAATTCTAAACCAAAAGTTAATATTTTACTACTTATAAGAGCCATGTAAAATACAAATATCTCTTCTCTTGTAATCTGAGCCACTGTGGACATATTACATCTGGTGTGTTGGGTGGAAAATGTCTTAACTTGCAGGAGTAAATAAAAGCAGGATAATGGAAGCTTGGTTATATTCATAAGACACTCATTGCTAATCTTCCAATACTGAGACCGCAAATATAATTTATTATATAAATATGAGAAAATAGTCTGATTAGCTGGAAGGAATTATCTTTGATGCCAGTATTGCAGAGTTATCTATCCTTAACATCCAATACTATTCTGATCTATCCTTAACATCCAATACTATTCTGAACTCACTTAGTACAAGCACCATGAAATCCATTTCCTATTCATGTTTGTAGCTACTCTTACAATATTGAGATAGCAAATATAATTTTTTTATATATAAATAAAAAAAAAATATCATCTATTTAGCTGAAAGGAATTATGCTTGATGCTGGTATTGTAGAGTTATCTATCCTTAGCAGCCAAATATCATTCTGAACTCAGACCAAGTACAATGGAAACCATTTCCTGTTCACTTAAACAAGCAATTATAAACTTGTTTAGTACCAAGCAAATTTTCTATTGTTGAAAATATAACTTACAACACCAGGCTACAAATTGTATTGATAACAAAAGAAAGACAATAAAATCTGTGCTGGAAGAAATATATTAACCCTTTTGTCCTGGGACGCTTAAAAATAAAAAAGGTCATGAACTGGTGTAAACATTTTACCCACTGCACCAGTTCCAAACATATCCAGCTTTCAAAAACTGACGAGAGAGAGGCAGGCAGGCAGAGACACACACGCACGCACGCACACACACAAACAAAAGAGTAATTACTAGAGATGGAGACATTAAATCTGTGCAGCATGTGATTACAAACACACACATCCAGAAACAGACATGATTTGGAAGAATAGTTCACAGAACTGATCAGACTAACAACAAATATGTGACCAAAATTAGAAAAAGGTTGCACAAACATTGCACAAATATCAAACCACCCCCCCCCCCCCCCCCCCCCCACTTATTTTTTACACCATCATCATCATGTGCCCTGCCAACTGGCGTAGGCACTCCTGCATCCCCACAGATCACGATCCCTGTTTGCCTGGAAAAGCTTTTTTGATGATATCCCTCCATGCCGTCATTTCAGCCCATCCAGCACCATCTCTCTTGGTCTGCCTCTACCCATGTTCTCCAATGTCTCTCTTCTCATTACATGGCAAAAGAAGTGTTTGTCTCTTTCTTATTGTTGCATATAGAGATCTATTTTCTTAGCTTCTTTCAAACAATCGCTGTTAGTTATTCTGGCCATCCAAGGTAATCGTAACATTCGTCTCAGAAACCACATCTTTGTTGCTTCCAAATTCTTCTTAATTTGTTCACTGACATTCCAAGATTTGCTGCCATAGAGCAGAACAGGTTCTATGTAACATTTTAGCACCCTCTTTACACCACCCTAAAACAAAACAAAAAGTTTGTACACACAGCAGTAAAGAGTTCTTTTTAAAGATGAGTTAATTGTAGTAGTCATTTAAAAAAAATATCCTGTTCAACCCTCAGGGTTATAATTGGGATATATAGTGTTCATGGAGTTTTCAAAGTATATATTTATTTAATATTTTTATATCATGTAACTATTTATATAAAACCGATATGTACTTTGTACTGTTTCACATATTGCTTTGATTTGTATAAATATATACCATGTAACCACTTTTTATCACTGAATAGAAATTTTCTAAAGTAGGTCAAATTTACAATTACTTAAAAATATAAAACTGCATATGTGGCATAATAAAGTTTATAATGTTTTTAAATCTAGAAAATGAATAGGAAATGATTTATAGCTAATGTGTTTTAATTATTTAAAACTTTCTATATAAGGCACGTAGAGATATAATGAAAGTGGCTGCAAACATAAATATGAAATGATGATTAACATTACCCATGATAGAAAGTTCTTGGAATAATATCCAGAAATAGGCTGTTTTCAAATCTTCTGTTTCACCGTGGGGGTTCATTTGGTGTGGGGGGTCTCTGCTCTTTAACAAGCATGTCTCAAAAGGCAATTAAGGTTTCGTTGAAATTGGACATTTTGAGCTGAATGGCACAGGTATTACAGCATAGCTGTAAATCACAACATAACAAAAACACCCTTACACATGAAAGAAAGAAAACATTGATAGATATCCTAAATATACTAATAATAGTTTTATATCCTTTACAGGACTCTGCAGAACCAACCCTAGCATTTTTTTGTGTGTGGCTATTTGTGATTTTACAGTGTTACATTGAGTAGTCTGCCATTACTTTCTGAACGGTCAACACTTCCCAATATCATTACTGAAATCAGCGCAAAGCGGTTTGCTGCCAAACTGTCTGCAGCAACACACCAGGTTATTTCAGAATTATGAATCATGCTTGCAACCCCCAAGTTGTAGATATCCTTCACACGCCTACATGTGAATAGGATGAGAACCCTTTTCCATGTCATCACATGTACTGGGCACAAGGCACTTTTATTATTCTACTCTTAATACCCCAATGGAGCACAGACCCTCAAGCAACTCAGGCCAAACTGTCCTATTTTTGCTACTGTCAGAAGGATATCCTTATTGGAGAAAGTGAAGAAGAAGACTGTAATTTCCCTCTCCATTGTGTATTTTTTTGCTTAGTCTATTCCTTTGACCTAACTAGTGGACGTAAATTTACCTAGAGAAACCACACAACAGCCAGGGGCTGCTGGGGTTGGTTCTGCAGCATCCTGTAAAGGATAGGCAACTAACCAAATTCCTTTGACCCAGGGGTTCCAGTACAAGAACATTCTGGTTATACTATTATCAGTTTTCTTACATGGGGGTAGTTCGTTATTTTTTTAGACAACTGATACTTGCCGGCTGACATGGTGTGATTCCCACTGCTCACCTTTAGACACCCATTTCAGCTAGATCAACTGGGAACCCCAGTCAATTTTTAAAATCCATCTTGGTGGAAATTCAAACCAATTTTCATGAAGCTGAGCTGTTCCGAGCAGCTGCACTTTTATGGACTATAAAACAATGAATATTAAACCATACACTTTACAATGACATAATGAATTCAGTTATTCTATAGCAAATTTAAATATAATTAGTTATCTCCACCTAATTAATTTAGTGCTGCTTTTAAAAACACAAATTATTTTTAAAACGTTTCAACAGTAAAATAAAACATCAAGATACAGAATCAAAGAAGTCAAGGTAGACTTTGTCTAAAATATTATGAGGAAGCTATAATGCTGCTAAAGTTAATGTTGTCAAGAAAAAAGCAAAACTAAAGAACTTATGATGGCCCTTACAAGTAAATTTACTGGACAAAAGTAAAATTGTGCTGAACTTGTTAAGGTATCTGAAGAAACAAATGAAATCTCTGATTTTTTCCAAGAATTTGCTGAACCTGAAAGCAAAAACAGTAAATATTATTTTTTTTTCTCTCTCTCTCTCTCTCTCTCCTTCCTCTCTCTCTCTCTCTCTCCTTCCTCTCTCTCTTTCTCTCCTTCCTCTCTCTCTCTCTCTCCTTCCTCTCTCCCTCTCCTTCCTCTTTCTCTCTCCTTCCTCTCTCTCTCTCTCCCTCTCTCTCTCTCTCTCTCTCTCTCTCTCTCTCTCTCTCTCTCATATCAAATAAGTATTGAAAGTAACATAGACATATACCAACCTTGTGCTGCTTTATGCAGGCTGGGGTAAGAAATATATCCTTGGGTTGATGTTACTGCATCTAATGATGGCTCTGGGTGGATGAAGTCGGAACAAATAACTTCATAACTTGCACATACCAAGGTACCATTAAAACCCTCAACCTGGCAAACAGTTCAAGATCACACATAAAATACAGATTTTTTTTGTATTAACACAAATAAAAATAAATCTCACTTTATATTAAACAATATGTGTCAGAATTTGACAAAATATTAAAATGAACACTTTATAAATATTCCCTTTTTATCTCATTGATCTCATACATGCTTTCAGGAAGCCACATAATAATACATAGCACACTTGTCTGCCAGTATAATGGTCATTTACATTTGTGGATACATATTTTGTGATGCCGAAAAGAAAAGTATAGAACCCCTTTCTCATTTTTTGACACCGGGGGGCATACAGTACTAGACCATAGCACAGTGAGGGACAGTTAAGGCCATTATGATGTGTATAAGGAGATATGTTGCACCTCAGATTGGGTGCAAGCAGGCTCCTTTCTGATTTTATGGATCCTAATGCAAGACTCCTGCTTGTTACTACCGTTCCGTCCTTTTTAGGATGAAATTTTTTGTTATTTGAAGCCCCACCCTGGCTTTTGCGAGGGGCCGCAATATAGGCAGGCCATAAATATGGCCAACTGTCTGAACGTGGTTTCTGGGACCTCTCCACGGCGATCCTCATCCACATGGTGGCACTTTGTGTCATCGGGTGTTTATCGCTTATGTGATGTCCTGGTGGGGTAGAAAGTCAGTCAGTCAGACTACTGCTGCATGTCCTCGTCACGTGCTATGGATAATCGGTCTAAACCGAGCTGGCAGGAGATCTGGAGAGTTGGTTGATCCCAGAGATGCAGTGTTCAGAAATTCTCTGGTTCTTATCAGCCCACCCCCAATGCATGAGTGATAACATCCATCTAAAAGTTATTTGGAACATGAGCGAAGCTCATTCAGCCTACTGGCTGAATATCCTACTTTATGACAAACCTTGATTCAAATGTCTGTTGACTGAAAGTCCTACTGAGTTGTGTGACTGAGCTCAAATGTCCTTCAGTCAAATAATGAAGTCTTGTAATCAGTTGAGTGGCCACCTCAGTATAAACGAACAATATCTCCTATGGGCAGTATCTCGAGGTTTGGCAATATCGCAAAATGACAATAGATGTATGAACATAGAATTTCTTACCGTGTGACAGGCATTGTTCAGAAGTCCGCTACTAATGGCCTAACTCATCTGAGTGTCGGAACCAAAAGGTCTGACTGTCATAAGTCCTACTGACTGAAGGAGAAGGTTCAAATGTCAGCTACCACTGGCCACCCTAATCGCAGTGCCGGGACCAATCTGGGAAACCATGCTTGTCCTACGCTGTTGTGCTAAGTGTACCCGATGCAACAATGTTAGAGTTGTCTAACTTGCTGAAGAGAATTGTGCCCATTTGTGTGGGTAACAAAGCTCACTGCTGATCCCTGGAGGGCGCAGCCCATGATAAGTGGAAAGTGCAACATACAGTACAACTAGGGTTAAGCAATCATGTGCAGGACATCATTATTCCTGAGTGAGCCCAGGATCAAAGCGTCATGTATAGCCTTTGCCTTTATGGAAGCTTCCTTGGATGGTGAAGAATGCCAATAATCTGCCCCTGCCTTCTCTTGAGTTGCAGAAATGCCTGAAGAAGTCATATGTGTTGGCCAAAAGTCACAATTACTGTGACAAGGGTTTAAAATATTTCATCACCAACAGGACTCCAACCTAATGCACAGAGTTTAGCAGATAAAGGGTAATATAAGTTAGTTACAGATCTTTTCAAGGACACTGCAAACTAACCCCAGCATTTGTTCTTTGCCCGCGGTCTTACAAGGCAGCAATTACTTTTAGTAGTTTGCCATTGTTTCTGAACTGTTAGCTCTTGATAACATTGTCCAAATCAATGCAAAAATTATCTACTGTCAAATCGCCCACAGCTGGAATCGAACCAGGTATCAAGGAAACTGTATTTGCAACCTGTAAGTCATTTAAGTGACTTGTTCCACTGTTCAAGAGAAATATCTAACAGAATTGTTATGACGCATTGAAAACTATGAACGTATTTTAACTACAGTGAAAAGATGGAAAATGCAATGGTACAGACACATAATAAGATCTACTGGCCTCTCAAAAACAATACTGCAGGGCTCAATAGAGGGGAAGAACAGAAGAGGAAGACCAAGAATGACCTGGATACAGAACTTGACTGACTGAACAGCCCTAAGGCATGCAACAGTGAAGTCCATTGCATCTGAAGGTGGAGGGAGCTGATACGTCACCAGCATCTCATGACCCAATGACACGCAGTGTTATGGGACAATTATTAAGATAAGGAAATGGTAAATAGTCGCCATCAGATGTCAACATGATGAATCAACATAGAACTGGTACTATTAGCCATCGGACGTTGGGGTTCATACTGAGGGGAGGATCTGAGCACCTATGGACATGTCCGGAGTGCAATGAGGATAACCCAACTAACTAACTAACTAACTAACTAACTAACTAACTAACTAACTAACTAACTAACTAACTAACTATTATGATAATGAAATGCCAGTTATACTGACCTGCAAAGAAGAACCAGTCGTTAAAGATCTGAGCAAACAAATTTTTTTTTTTTTTTTTTTTTACAATATGAGAATGATAGTCTCAGAGAGAATTCAGTGGCCTTTTCAGCATTGTGTACAGATAAGGTCTGTGAGTCTAACAATTTTTGCTAAGACATAACAGTACTTGCCTGGATATGTGATTCAGAATTACATAGTAGCCATTCCCCACCCTGCACTCGTACATAGTATTTGTCTCCTTCACACCTTCTTTCGAAACATCTACCAGTCAAATTCAGTGTATTGTTCTGTAGATATACACATTTCACATCAGACTTTTTAACATGCTACAGCTGAAAAGGACAGAAATCTTCTTCTTCGTGTTCGCCAGCTGTAAACTCTGATGGAAAGTTCTGGTTGTTCATCCACTTTCAGACTGCAGTCCTATTCAAGAACTTGAGTGTTGCGTGTGCATCCGTTTTACAGATCTAACTCATTTGTATGCAGACTGCTGGTTCCTTGCCTCTAAGGCAGATGCACTCCGACTTCGAAGGAAGCTCGCAATTAGTCGACTCTTATGACAAGCTTTTGGGTTGGCAGTGGTTCTATTCTTGTTTTTCCTATAATAGGGCCCCGGAACCCACATGGGGAAGGACAGAAATAAAGAAACATAATGTGGGAGAGAGACTAAGGTTTGGGAAAAAGGGGAAGGGGGGAGGCTTTGCTATGTCTGCCTATGGCACGATCCATCATTTGGTTGGATGTTTGTTCAGTTGCTGATGTTTCTATGCTGTGAAGGGGCAATATACATCCTGACTTTGCTAAGAAGTGACTGCATTAGGAAGGACTTGTGACTTCATTAGGAACTGCCTGCTGCTGGGAGGAAACATAAGATTTTTATTTACCTCCTATATTGTCATTAACTTGGGTGGCTAAGCAACATTCGGCCAGATTTCTGGAAGTGATAGGGTTAATCACTTTTAGGAAAGATAAGGGGAAACAGGAGAGATAGAGACATGTCTAATTTTAGACACATTTTTCACCTCATCAAATCCCAGGGAGAGAGACAATGAGAGAAAGAGAGAGGAGAGAAAAATTAAAAATGGAGAAATTCAGTTGACAAGGGAAGATGTAAAACCTGTGAAAGAATCATTACCAAACCTAGGCCTAATCTCATTCAACATAGGTGTCACAAAAAGTCTATCGTATGATACCAAAGCATCTAGTTTGAGAATGGAGGTGGAGGCAGTCACTGCAGTCTTCTGTTGGCTTAAAAACTAGCTGCACACACTGACACACATCATAACTGTAAATAAAATTACTCACACAGCATGCTGAGAAAGGTGGAAACAGGTATTTTGTGTGCAAGCAAGGTTTCAAAGGTCTTGGGTAATAGTGTCCATTGGATATTTTCTCCAGGTCATGCTGCTGTGTTGCGAAACAGCCAGACAGGCTGGCTGGTTCTGCACCACTTGGCGGTGAAGTGATGCATGACAAAGCTAGAGGGTGTAAGGGTCCTTTGGGAGCGAGTGAACAGTGTGTGTGTGTGGGGGAGGGGGGGGGAGCCACAAATAGATCATTATGGTCACATTAGAATGGTGCTGTGAGGACTGACCAGGGGATCAACACTCAACAGAAAGGCAAGCATATACAATCAGACTGTTACTGGTGCCATCAGAATTAGAATTCTGCAGTGGGTTCACGACCAACAAACCAGCTATCACTTCCATCAACCCCTGGGAACATTTATAACATAAATAATTATCATATAATTTTTTAACAGTATACATTGCTGTCAAACTTATTTGTGAATGAACCATTTAATAAATATATTATTTTTCGATTAAGCAAACATAAATGAATACAAATTATCATACTACCTTCTCTGAAGAAAACAAATGAGTTGGTGTAAGTGATGATAAGAAACATCTGCTTGAGGACGAAAATGTTTCAGTATCCAGATCTGACAAAGTGTTATTTAATACAGCCATGAAACATGGTTTCTGCAGAACAGAAAAAATATAACATGACTATGCTATTATTATTAATATCCACTGTGATTAAAGAAAATGTTACATATGATATCTATGTCACTTCACATTCTGACAGCACTGTGACGTATGTGATATCTATTTTATAAGTCTCTGCTACCAGTGCCAGACTTGGATAGTATCATAGGCTAACCTATGTAAAACTAACACCTACAAAATGAGATGCCTGAGAAAAGCTGCCAACTTAACCACCCGAGACAAAGTTAGAAATGATATTTTCAGACAGACTGTAGGAACAACACCATGCAGAAAATTCATTGAGAAATAGAAGGTCAAATGGTTTGGTCATCTCGTGAGAATGCAGCCAGAACAACTACCAACGCAGGCCCTACACATGAAAAAATCTGTAGTCTATGAAAATAAAGGTTTACAACTGCATGCCCAATGCAATAATTGTGTGCAACTGGTCCAATACTTTACTTGTGGGATGTGTGTGTGTGTGTATACTCAACAAAGATATAATATGTAACATATATAACACCTAAACTTCTACAGCATAAACAGAACATATAGATCTATTACAAACTTTTATAGAAAACACACTATTCTTGGTGTCTCCCTCTGTCAACAGTAGTAGTAGCAATTTTTTTGTAATGTCTTGTTCAACCCTCAGGGTTATAATTGGGATATATATAGTTTTAGTTGATTTCTCAGGGTATATATTTGTCATTTTTATATTTACATATCGCATAATTATTTAAATGACCAATATGTAATTTGTATTATTTCACATATTGCTTTGATCTGAGTTATGATTATGGCAGAAACTGTACTATGAATAATTAGACAATATTACTAACATTGTGTCATTAACTTGTTGGATTTATTATTCCCCTTAGGGAAATAGTTGATTATTCTCCTAGGTAACAGTCAACAGTCAGTTGGTCTATTAGTCACAATCAGTAAGCAAAAGCAAAGGACCCTTTTAATGATTGATTGGCACCTTTCCATCTTTCCAGACGATAGTGTTATATTGGGCTATGAGGAGGCATGGGACTCACAGCCCATGGGGATGGCAAGTGTGACTAGCAAGACCCGCCTGTGTCAAGAAAAGTCTTCCACAATGATAGCATGGGATCTCAGGACTATTGTATCCTCTCCATAGCTCAAAGCCTGGGAAGTATTGTAGAGACCACATGTTGCCCATGCATCATGATCCCTTCCTTGACCTGCCTTGTTTACACCAAAAGAAAGGTAACACCAGTACATTTGGAACAAAGCAGGCTGCAGAAGCTGCTGGATCAGGAGAGCAGTGCTCCATCTTTCCACCTGTTGGAGCTTCCCTCCTAGACCAGCTTCCAGCCAAGGCTTAGGGCTTGGTCTGCCCTGCCATAACATAAAGTTTTCAGGTTGCATTTCCTCTTCCTAGGATAAGGCTAGTATCCTCCCCAATGTGCTTCTTTACCCGAAACCGTTGGCACAATATGGGATGTCAGGTTTGGTATACGCCGCCCAACATTCAGCGTAACAGAAAACAGGTGGTACCCATACTGTTATACTGTAGCTCAGCCATATCTGACCAAAACCCTTTTAATACCAGTGGTTTAACAGGCATGTCATGTGAGACTCATATTTTATAGATCACTCGGTACTTGATGGGTAATGTGGTCAACATCGCGCTAGCTGCTATCACTTCCCAGGACTTACCCATTTTAGGCTGGGCTGACCTTGGGAGCCAAGGTCATTTAAAAAAATCTAACTCGATGCAGATTCTAACCCAAAACCTGCGGCCAGGAGGCAAGCATCTAGCCACTATGCCAGCACAGCTTCTATGAGTTATGAGTTAATGTGTGCACGGCCTGGAATTTAGTAAATGTTTACGCTGCTTTTGACTCTCTTGTCGTAAAGGAACATTGGGACTGGCTCAAAGAGTGGAGAAAATCCCTGGGTAAATAGCTTCTTATTTGTGGGGATTTTAATGCAAGGAACAAAGCATGGGACAGTATTGGGGAACACAGACAAGGATACGTCCTAGCAGAGGCTACAGTGGATGCAAATTAGTACAGATCAGGTAATTGTAGTTTCAACTTTACAGCAAACAGGTCATCCCATAGTTAATCTGCTCCTGTGCCAAAGAACAACCACACAGAATTACTATGTATAAACAATGGTTACACAACAGCCAGGGGCTGCTGGGGTTGGTTCTGCAATGTCCTGTGAAGGATACGCAACTAACCTAACCTAAACAATGGTTGGCCAGCTAGAGTGGGACTTAGTGATGCAGACACAGCTATTTGTTACCCAATCAGCAGGATTGGACACAAAACGAAATGTCTTAGAATGTTGAAAGTTAAATTAAGAATCGACATCACAGCACATAGGACACCCCCCATAAGTGCTCCGTCCCCATCTTCAGCAGCAATCGAAGAGTTAAAATTCCGATGGTACCAGTAACTGTCTGACTGCATATCCATCTCACCTTTTCCCTGAGTGTCCTAGAAGCTCATAGGAGTGACCAATGTCATCCTTGGTCTTGATTTCTAAAGCTAGCAATATCAGAGCTACAAGAAGTCGTAAGACTTATAAGTATGAATGGAACCCAGCTCTCAAGGACTTAATTACTATATGATAAAGCGGATGTAGTGAAGGCTTTATGGAATCAAATAGACAGTGCAATAGAACGTATTGGAAATCCATACACTAAGAGACTAATTCAACAGGGGGTGTGTAGTGGCTTTGGAAGATGTTCAACACTGAAGGAGGAAACAGAGGTGGACTTTTAATCTGTTTGCAATTGGTGCTGCCAGCATGTCAACTCTTTGTTGGCTACCGAAGAAGGGGACAGAGCATGTGTGGGAATGTCTCAAGTGCAATGATGTCATTTCTTGATTCATTAAATCATGAACACATACCTGGTCTGCTGCAAAAACCCCACAAGTCAAAGGGCTTTTGGTGTTGAAATTACATCTGGCTTTGCTGAGTCTCAGATGGTGGCATCCAGTTATGCTGAATGAGAAGTATATGTATACAATACCTGAACCAAGAGAAACATTTTAAACAGAAGTGTTAGCAAGCTTAGGACAGCAACAAATGACCCCCCAAAAAAGTACAAGAATGATTTCACATTGAAAAACTATCATTTTCTAAAGACAAAAAATATAAACAAAAGAAACAATACTATATTCACACAGATTTCATGCACTTGTTCAATGAGAATAAAATATGGGAAACATCATTTTAACAGCGATAAATGATAAGCTGCAGACATAAGAAACGGACAATGGAAAAATCACTAACAATTTGTGAATGATGGATCATCAGTTCTCGTTATGCCTAGTGGCACATGAGGCTTCAGAGAGGACTTTCCATGCTTTCCTGTCGGTGAAATCTTCAGTGCAGTTTTCCATGTCAAAGATGCCGCACTCAGGTCACTTTTCATCGTTCGTTTCCATGTTGTTTTTGGGCGCCCCTGTTTTCTCTTTCCCTCTGGTGTCCATGTGAGAGCTGTTTTGGCAGGTATATCAGAAGTCATTCTCATAATGTGGCCAAGCCATTTCCATTTTCTCTTGGTAATCATACTTTCTAAAGTTTCTTGGTTTGTGGCTTGAAGTAGTTTAGTGTTTGAGATAGTATCTGGCCAGAAAATTTTGACATGTGTTGTGGAAGGTGGACAGCTTGTGTGCATCCTTTTTGGTCATTCTCCAGCATTCGGCTCCATAAAGAAGAACTGGCAAAATGATGCACTTGTAGAGTCGGAGTTTCGTTCCTCTGCAGTAATTGTTGGATTTCCAAATTTGCCTCATCCTTCCAAAAGCAGCTCTAGCTTTGTTCAGATGTGACTGTATGTCCTCTTCGGCCCCTCCTGTTAGGGACACCACACTGCCAAGATATGTGAAATATTCTACATTTTCAAGAGTTTGGTTATTTATGGTCACTGGTTGTTGGTTTGGACTGCTTGTCATGATCTTAGTTTTCTTTGTATTTATTCTCAGTCCCACCATTTCTGCTGTGCTGTGTAGTCTGTTACTTTTTTCTTGTATATGTTCATGTTTATGTGATAGGAGTGCTATATCATCTGCAAAATCAAGGTCCTCAAGCATGGTGAATGGAGTCCATCATATGCCTCTTAATGTCCTGTCTACTGTGTTCTTAAGTATCCAACCAAGTATCCAAGGTTGAAGAGGAGAGATGACATAACACATCCCTGTCTTACACCTGTCTTTACTGGGAAAGATGTATTGTAATTTTTTATACGGCAGGAAAAGTCTTTATAGAAGAGAGCAATTATGTTGACTATTTTTTTCTGGAATTCCATAATGTCATAAAATTTTCCATAGACCGTCTCTATGGACGCTGTCAAAAGCTTTCTCAAAGTCCACAAAATTAATATATAAACTTCTCTGCCATTCATTGCATTGTTCTAAAATGTTACATATGGAGAAGATGTGCTCAGTTGTTCCTCTGCCCTTTCTGAATCCTGCTTGTTCCACTCGTTGGCATTTATCTACTCCTTTTTCAAGCCGCATTATGATGATTTGACAAAATATTTTGCTTGGTACTGAGAGTAGAGTTATTGTGAATGATGGATAATGGAAGGAAAACAAAGAAAAGAAAAGCCATTGGAGCAAAATATTTTTTTTTTAATGGTGTCAGTCATTTCAAAACTTGGTATAAATGGAATAACACAGACCAGGCATCTCAGATAGATTTTATTCTAATAAGGAAGACAGACAGAAGACATTGGATTCAAGAGCACAACCAAACACAAACACTGATACTAATCATAAACCAGTGATAGTAATAAAGAAAACAGATCACAAGACAACAAGATGCAAGAAGTTAAAAACAGAAGACATCAATATTCCCTACAATATTCCAAGCTACATGACAAAACTGTCAAAAGCCAATTTAAAAAAGACGTCAAAAAGCTGCTTACAAACCTTCCCGCCGAGTACTCAAATGTACAGAATGAATGGGCAAACTTCAAATCAGCATTTTACAACTCTCTTAAAAAATAAATGTGGAACACAAAAAAGTAGGTCAAGACAAACGATTAAGAGCGTCATGGTGGAATAATTATGTCAAAGATATCATTTTTAAAAAGGAAGCAAGCATACAAAAAATGGAATAAATAACAATGTGAACAAGATTATGTTACATACAGATTGATAAGAAGAGATGCAAAATTAGAGATCAAAGCTTCTAAAGATGAAAATCATGGGGAAAAAAAGTCTGGAGAGCAGTTGGCCACACTTAGCAGAAGTTCCCCTAGAGAATTTTACAAACAGGTTAAAAACTTGAGAGCAAGAAATGAATGCTACAATCCAATCACCATTGTAAACAACAAGAGTGGCTGTCCTGTATTTAATCCACATCAATTACTATCAAGATGGGCAGAAAATTTTAAAGAGCTGTTATAAAGGTGCAGTGACAAATGCCCAAAGACAACATGCCATTAAAAAAAAAAAGACAAGCCCAGATCTTTGCATTTACAGGGCAAGAGGGTTAATGATGTGTGTGTTGCCATGCAACACAAATTTTATCTACACATTTGTGTCACGGACAGACTTTGAGATTTCCAAAATGTTATATTTCATTTTGCAGCACAGAAGTATTCCAAATCTCAAAAGTCCTAGAAGAAGCAATAATGAAATTCATAATCTGTTTAAATTACCACTGATTACTGGCATCATGAGAGCTAATAGACTGAAATGGGGGCGCATACTGAAAGAATGTCAGATGACAGAGAAGTAAAACTGGGGGAAATGAATGGTGGTAGATCACGAGGCAGACCAAGAAGAATATTGAGAGACACTGTCCAGACAGACCTACAAATGCTTGGTATCACCAAGTGGAAAGAGAAGGCCAACCAGAAAGATGAATGGAGGTGGGTGATATCTGCAGCAATTAATCTCACAGCTAGGAGGCTATTTACAGTGGACTAAATCTGTAGAGAAACAAAAATGAAATATCTGTTATCAAATTTATTCAAAAAGGCTTCAAGACAACTGGAAATACACAAATGTTTATGTACGAATAAGACTTACTTATTGAAACAGAAGCCTTCCTGCTCTTTACAGAAACCTGGTAAACCAAATGAACAGCCTTGACCTGTTTGAGAAAATGAATATACAGTAATTCTCAATTAAATCAAATAAATAAACAACCATTACTACAACAATGCTGGCTTGCATAGTCAAAATAAAAATAAAAAAAAAATACAGATATATTTGAGAAATCCCTAGGCTCTCTCACACATCATAATCATGATCTGCATCACAAATGTCTTCTTCTTTTTCTTAAATATTCCAAGCCCTTGAGATTCACTGCTGCAGATATCACCTGACTTCACTCATCTCTCTGGTTGGCCTTCTTTTTCCAGTTGGTAAAGTGTTCTTCAAGTCTCTCTGGACATTATCTCTCCATATTCTTATTGGTCTGCCTCATGGTCTACGACCATTTATCTCCTTTGTGTATACAGTTTTTACCTCTCTGTCATCTGACATTCTCTCCATATGCCCCAGCCATTTCAATCTATCAGTTCTCATGATGCCAACAATCAGGGTGATTTAAACAGATTATGAATTTCGTTGCTGCTTCTCACTCTCCACTCTTTACATCTTTGATGGGTCCAAAGATTCGTCGTTTTCGAAGACCTGTAATAAGCCTTCATCTCTTTTAGCATCAAAATGTTGTGCCACATATAAGGCTCACAGTCTATTGTTTCCTTCTACTATATTTTTTGACATTTTTTTTAAATATCATGAAATAAATCCAGACCAGTACCCCTGGCCTTTCTCAGCAACATCTCATCTTAGGGTTTCTCTTGAATGTCCTCGTGTCCACAGTCCAAATGTTGCCATTTTCAGTGCTTTTTTGGCAATTCTCTGTCTTGCTTCTTCTCAGGATGTTCCCAACATATATCTTGTTCAGCTACATGAAAGGGTATCAGTGCCAAGAGCAATCGGGCTTTCCTACTGTGAGCACAGCTTCTCCTCCTTCTCCTTTACCAAATGTTTCCAGTTGAAAGTTTTGGTTGTTTGTCCAGTTCTGGACTTAGTCTTGTTTCAGAATCTGAGTTTTGCATTAACATTTTTTTAGGGACAGATTTGGCTTATTTTTATACAGACTGTTGGTTCCTTGCCTCTCAGGCAGATACATATTATCAAAATCGTTTCGTCCTTTTTAAGATTAAATTTTTTGTTATTTGAAGCCCTACTCTGGCTTTTGCCAGGGGCCGCAAATATGGCCAATTGTCTGAACATGGTTTCTGGGACCTCTCCACGGCGATCCTCATCCACATGGTGGCATTTTGTGTCATCGGGTGTTTATCGCTTGTGTGATGTCCTGGTGGGGTAGAAAGTCAGTCAGTCAGGCAGATACACCCCAACTATGAAGAAAAAATCTCTAAACAGTTGACTCTTATGACATGCTTGTTAGGAGGGCTCAGTGAGTTGTTTGTTTGTTCCCCTCAATGGGGCCCCAGAACCTACAAGGGGAAATCTGCTTGACATGGATTTACAAACAATAAGATAACAGGTTACCTTGACCCCAGATAAACTTATCCGCCTCAGAATAGTTGACTTTGTACCATCCAGTGTCTTCAAAAACAGCCAGAGAGATAGGGTCGATCAGAGTCTGGTATGGCTGAGAACATAAATTATTAGAATATTTGTAAAACCTGCATTCAAGATATCTATTAACCAATGCTATTATTCACAGTTCTTTTATTGATGTAAGATTTAATAGGAAAAAGTTTCCGTAAAAAAAAAAATCTTTTTCACTTATTAGGAAATTATAGCACTCATTGCTGATTTAAGAATTGGTATCAGTGAACACCAGGCATCTTAGATGCTCCGTCTCCTGCAGCAAATATCTTGAGGTGTAAAAGCTAACTATTCCTGTAAGCACATATGTCCCTCCTTGCCAGATCTACTCCCAATTCTTTGTTCACATTTTCTTACATAGGTTAATTTAATTTAATTTTGTGTCTTCTATCACATTCA